TGAACATGTTTATAACGGAAATTTGTGTTGCTTACTCATCTAATGACACGATTCTAGAATTGGCTGGCTGTTATAACATCTAATCAATGAATAGAACTAGCTAACGTTGCTACATTGTTGTTATTTAATCGGAAATTTTAATTCATAATAAGGCCATCAGTCATAAGACTCTCCTATCCTGAGCTAATCTTCACATTTCCCCAAAACTAGAATAACCCACATGGTTAACTATTTGAGAATAGTAATCTAATCTAGGTCTACCTCTACTCATCTTAAAACTCCTTTTTCTATCTCTAATACGAGGGTGGATTGATAAGTTTCCGGCCTGACCAAGAAAAACAAGGTTTTTAAAAATTTTTTTTTTTTATTTCTCAACATAATCTCCTCCAAGGCTGATACATTTCTCATAGCGGTGTTCCAGTCTATTAATGCCATCTCTATAGACTGATTCGTCAAGCTCCTCAAAATAACCATTTACAGCTTCGATTACTTCTTCATTGTCCGCAAATCTCTTACCGCCAAGCCATTTTTTGAGATTAGGGAACAGAAAATAGTCACTCGGGGCTAGGTCTGGAGAGTAAGGAGGGTGCGGCATCAATTCAAACTTTAGATCGTTGATTTTAGCCGTCGCAACGATTGACGTGTGCGCTGGTGCGTTATCGTGATGAAACAAGATTTTTTTCTTCGCCAGATGAGGTCGTTTAATTTTCACCTCGTGGCTCAAACGTTGCAATAAGTCTGCGTAGTATTGACCAGTGATAGTATTACCCTTTGCAAGGTAATCAATGTATATAATACCTCTTGCATCCCAAAAAACAGTAGCCATAACCTTGTTCGCCGAAAAAATTGTTTTTGCCTTCTTTGGAGTTGGTTCCCCTGGTCCAATCCACTGTTTAGACTGTTCTTTGGTTTCAGGAGTGTAGTGGTGGACCCACGTTTCGTCAACGGTTACGAATCGACGCAAAAATTCGCTTGGATTACGCTTATACAATGACAAATTTGCGGTAGAAATGTTTTTTCGAATCAATTTTTGGTCGACTGTTAGCAAACGCGGCACCCATCTTGCACAGAGCTTTTCCATATGCAAATGTTGGTGCAAAATATGTTGCACACGTTCATATGACATCTTACAGGTCTCAGCTATCTCACGCACTTTCAATCTGCGGTCTCCCAGCACTATTTGATGAATTTTTTCGATCATATCTGGAGTTGTGACCTCAACGGGGCGTCCTGAGCGAGGCCCATCAGAGGTGCTCACACGACCCTTTTTAAACTCGGAAACCCACTGCTTAACGGTTGAATATGACGGGGAGGATGTCCCCAGTGTTGAGTCCATCTCTTTTTTAATTTCCTTCGGCGTTAACCCCTTCAAATAAAAGTATTTGATGACAGCACGATTTTCCTGCTTTTCCATTTTTACGAAAACCACAGAGGCGTCTTGTTCAGCGTGCTGTCAAACCTACACTAGCAAGGAGATCGGGCTGAAACTATAGCTACAAGCTATCCAAGGATGGTACTATAGAATGTCACCTCAAGGTAGGCCTAGTGGCGTCATCTCTTGGTTAGGCCGGAAACTTATCAATCCACCCTCGTATGTCTCTGACTAGACCTTCATGTCTGAGAAGGTGCCCTACTAACTTATCTCGCCTATTTCTTATTGACTTCCATAGAGTCCTCTGTTCTCCTATTCTTTCTAATATCTCTTCATTTCTAACCTTCTCTATCCACGGTATCCTCATCAGTCGCCTGTAGCACCACATTTTAAATCTTTTCTTTTCCGCCGCGTCCACCGTCCATGTTTCGCACTCGTACAGTGCCACGCTCCAAACATACACCTTTAACAATCTTTTTCGATTTTCTAAATTAACCGTTCACGAGCATAGAAGTGACTTCTTTTGTTGAAGGTGACTCGACCCTGTGCTATCCACTGCTTTATATCCCTATTAGCTACTACTCTTTCCCTTCTGACTTAGCTGACTTCGTAGATACCTAAAACCAGTCAATTCTTCTACTTTTTCGTTTCCTATCTTTATATTCGCTCCTTCCCTACTTTTTCTTCCCTTAAATGCCAGTCTTTTTTAATTTACTTTTATTTATTTTCATACAATACACATTTGTCAATTTTATTTAAAGCTATCTCTAACTCCTAACTTCTAATTAAAATTGGGAATATTTTCACGTGTTTAGTTGGAGGCAAAGACATAACAGAATTAGAGTAAGAAAGCCCATCGGAATATGTTTCTTAAAATAGTGAAACAACAATTAAAGAGACAGTATTCTATCTTTCTTTTATTTCGAGCACTCACAATTGACAGTCAGTTGTATTAGTTAATTAGAAACGCCATCTCACTGCTCATTAACTCACACGCTAAGCACTCAAAGATAGAGAGAGTTCTGCTATTATTAATCTCACTGCCCATCACCTCACACGCTGAGCATTCAGAGATAGAGAGGGTCCTACTCTTGAAGTGATGGTAGTATACCTATTTTCCATGCCCTTCTATCGGCCTTACGACTCTCCGCCACTTATAGAGTTGCATGAGCCTTGTCTACTGTAAGATCTCATATAAACAATTATCAAATGTCAATCTAACCGTGATAAAAAAGTAAGTGCTGTACGGGCATCAATGGTGTTATCCATAGTCATCGATAGTGGTATCTATCCATCCGTGCAAATTTAGACCGGTTCAACTACTTAAAAGTATTTTTAAGGGTATGAAGTTTAGCCCAAAATCTTCGGCAGCCCGAATAATAGCAGGATTCGAAAATATATAATGTACTTTGGGTATTGCTACGGCGCGACGGACAGGACTTTCATGTTATCCTGCATCACACTACTACTCCTGAAACGTAGTGGTCCGCGTCCTGGATCCGTTATGCAAAAGAAGAATTCACTTCAATAAATTATGAAGGCACCGTACAATTCACACTTCATATGTGGAAAACTAGTGGCACACCGTAGATGAATAGGTTTACATTAGTCATAATTCACTGGACTATGATCCATTGAAATAAAAATTCGCACATGTGACATTTTCAATGGAATTACTTTTACTGTTACATATTACGAGTAGAATGTACGATAGTTTGATACGAAGGGACCTTTTTATCAGCAGTAAGTGGCCTGAGTGGATGGCTATGTACAAATGTACATGCAAGAGCTTTACTGGAATGTTTTTTTACCTTCGGGAAGCAAATTTTTATACTTATTTCTTGTTTGTACATTTACGTATAAGGGACATGCTTTTAGATAAGTTCATATTAAGGATTAGGCAAAAAAAGATGACAATATCGCGATAAATTCGTACATTCATAGAATAGGACACGGAAGATCAAGTGTTAACTTAAATTTTATTTTGGTGCTACCGTATCGTTTATCTTCACAAAAGCTAATATGAAAATTATATAAACTAGAAGAAGGTAACAATTAATTTTTCGTGTCCTACTCTACAAATTTATCGCGATAATTACCCAAATGGTAAAATTTTAATATTAATGCTTGATTATCCGTGTCATAATCTCTAAATTCACGCAATAGCTTCATCCTAAACTGTGAATGAAAACAAAAGTCAGAACTAGGAGTGTCTATCAATTTTTAATAACTTTTTAACTAGAAATAGCCTTGAAATTCGTCCTCAAGTTCAAATTCAAGGTCATCATTCGATTTCTCCTTTTTTCTTTAAAATTATCCAAGTAGTTCTTTTAAAAATGAGTCACCCTGTATATATACATTAATAAGCTACATCATATAAGTAAATGTGTGTGTGTAAGTTGATACGTAGTTTCTTGTTATTTTAAGAAACACAATATCAAAGTTTCCAAATAATTTTATGCTGAACTAAGAAGATCAGTATTACAAACGTTAGGAAATTGTTCCATAATTGAAGGAGGAATCTCCTTCAGCTGCTATGTTCTCCTCCTCGTCATTTCTTTGTATTTTTGCGTTCACCTTTCAGTATCCGCTTATCTCTCAAAAGCAACTTTAAGCGCATTACATAAGAGAACAAGTTCGTAGCAAATTATATTTTATTCAGCAAGCCATTAATGTTAAATTGGATGTGGTAGATAATAATTACCGACGAGGTTAACGAGGGCAGGAAATGGCAAAGTGTCGCTATCGGCATAATAGACTTTTATTTCATAAAAGAAAACTCGTTATTTCATGAAATCTATCAACAACCCAATTTTAATGGCAAACAGACGACGTTTAGTAACGCTACAAATATAGAGACTGGCAATTTGGTTGCTAGGTAGCAATGTTTCTTGAGAGACATTCAAAAAAAACACCCTCAATTTTAAAATCCTCCGAGAAAATCTTTATGACTTGAGGTCACGTGGCGGTTTTGGTACAAAAAGGTGACTGCAGTTTCATGTTTATCATAAGTACGATTTTTAAATAAGAAATGGAAGAAAAAGTGACTTCTGGCACATGATCAAAGTGTAGTGATGAGCCAAAATAGCATTTTTGTCTTGTCTTGTCTTGGTCTTTTTCCGTTAGCAAAACCACGATCCTCGCATGACGAAAACTAAAATTAAATAAACAAGACTAATAGCAAGACTTATTAGCAAGAACAAGACCAAGACGTACTGTCGAAAACCAAGAGGAAGACTAAATGTAACAGGTCAAGACCAAAACCAAACCCATATTAATCTTGTCTTAGTCGTCACTACCAAAGCGTTCTCTTTGAACTTTGGTTTCTGGAAATAACATCATGTGGCCCATCCCTAGGTATGTAGGATTGGGGCTCCAAACAAAAAACACTCATCAATGTTCGAAAGAACGCTTTGGTCATATGCCAGTTACACTTTTCAAAATTTGGTCGTCTATACGCGTCGAGGCAGCTTTTAGAATTCGAGACCAACATATCCCCTGTTTAAAAATTGCCAAAAATAATACGTATTAAGTGTCGCTTAGAAACTGTGAAATGTTCCAAAAGTTTACTTTCATATGTAATTTACCTTCTTATAAAATTAGTATAAAAAATAATAGAACTACTTACATTGTTACTAATGTAGGACGGAGCCATGGGTCCATCGTCGGATTCCCATTTGTTGGCTATTCGAATAGTTTCGGCCGTCTTTTGTTGGATAGATTTCGTTTCATCCAACAGGGTAAGCTCGTAAAATTCTTGAATATCTTTAACAAAATACAATTATTGACACATTTGTTAAACGAGTAAACAATAGAAATACAACCGTGAACACGATACTTATAACTACATTTAATACAATCAGCATAAGGTGTGATTTATATGAGTGAGAGTATAGAGTGAATGTCGACAAATATCGTCACGAATAACCATGACCTTGAAACTTTGGTCAAATGAGCCGAATCAAACACAACCTTCAAATTTTATCTACAAACTTTGAAGCAGAAATTTGAAATCTTAATATACTGATAGAATATTTTTTGGTAGGCATTCATAAGAGTTACTTCTATGCAAGCGAACGATTAATTCGATAAATATTATTAAAGCTGTATGTTCGGAGCGCCGTGCTGTACGGGTGCGAAACATGGACGGCAGGCGCGGCGGAAAAGAAAAGGGTTAGAAGTGTTCGAAATGATGAGGATACCGTGGATAGAGAAGGTTAGAAATGAAGAGGTATTATAAAGAACAAGAGAATAGAGGACTATATGGAAGTCAATAAGAAATAGGCGAGATAGGTTGGTAGGACATCTTCTCAGGCATGAAGGTCTAGTCAGAAACATATTAATGGCAGAAACAGGAGTTAGGAGGAGTAGAGGTAGACCTAGATTAGATTACTATTCACAAGTAGTTAAGGATGTGGATCGTTCTAGTTTTAGGGAAATGCAAAGATTAGCTCAGGATAGGAAAGAGTGGAGGTGCGTGTCCAATCAGTCTTGGGACTGACGACCTTATGATTCATTTGTATCAAAAAATGATAAAGTTCAACAGCTTGGTTATGGGCGACTTTGTCAGCAAATTCTATGAAGAGATGTCTGATAGCATTGCGAGTTAGATCTTGTAGTGGGAGTAGATAAAGGCTGAAATGGTTAACCTCCATGAGTTCTTTGAGCAATCAATCTCTCTTCTATATTTTGGACAGAAATAGGATAGAAGCACAATAAAATGCAACCACCTTTTGATTTAGCTCTGTCTTTTCTATTTGCTTTACATCCCGTGAATAGGCCCTTTGAAAAGGGTACTACTTGAATCAGAGAATACCAGTATATCATAGGGTATAGCTGATGACTTGGGACTACAGATGTCTTTCAATTCAGACAGCTGACATTTTTATAAAAGATAAATTGAACATTGGGACAGATGCGTTTAATTTTGTTGATTTTTAGACATGACCGGCTGAGGTTTCGAGCTCTCTTTACTTTACGTTAGTATTTTGAAGGCCTCTTTGACTCAAACTGCGTAGCTAAATGTTTATCTCATTCAGTAATTACACTTTGACATTGTGCTGCTTACCAATGTGGTGTTTGCGTGTTTACGATTTTCGTGGATACCGTAGTAATAATTTCCTGTATGTATCAACTCAAATTGAGCAATATAGCAATCTAGTAGTACGATCGATTGCAATCACCAAAGTGTGCGAAGTTACCAAACGTTAATAGCGTTCGTAATTACTAATATATATTGTGTAGACAACCATTACGATCTGCAGTTTGTTGCACCCGTTGTTGTCTGTCTACGTGTAGTCGTAGACAAGAACGTATCCCTTAAATTCGTCATTCAGATAAGTAGTTCAATTTCAACATAAAGTTTAACCGTCGATTTATGACATTGCTGTGTGTATGGTACAAATTTAATAGGTGCAATATCAAAATAAAAACTTAAAACTTTCGGGTGTTTCATTCCCGAACCAGCTACTAAAGTTGGTGGAAAGACAGCTCCTTCAGACTATGCCGGAAGGTTGCTGATTAGAACTCGTGATGGTTGGGGTGGAAAGATAAGATGAATGACATGAAGGTACAACAAAGGTGAAAGACTATCTATGGAACATTATTACCCCTCTAATATCTGCTTATATGATCCAATAAAAACCACAGATAAACTTGCGATAGGGCAGACGGAACCGTAATCGAATGAAGGTCCTCCCGAAAGCTTAGCAATAGTCGAAACGTTTAAACCACGCTGATGGGCGGGCAGTCCCTTCGAACTACGCCGAAAGTAGGGCGGAAGGCCCCCTTAAGCCTCCTTTCAGGAATCATGGGAATGGGTGGGTGGTGGTTCGGGTGAGAAAGAAGAAACGGACGAAATGAAGACAAAAGAAAATGAAGGATTATCTGTGGAATATTGCTGCCCCAGCACTTACCTAAGTGACCCAAGAAAATTATAGAAAAACTTGGACCAAGGCAGACCAACCCGGAATAGAACCGGCGTCCCTCCGAATACTAAGCAATGGTCTAAACGTTTAAGTCATGCCGCTCGGTCTGTATCAAACTAAAAACTTTAAACTTTTGGGTGTTTCATTCCCACCAGCCAGTAATGCTCAAAATCTACACACACACACACACACACACACACACACATACACACACACACACACACACACATGCACGCATAGTTCATATTCAAATACACAATCTCATAATGCTCATAGCCACAATCGACTGAAAAAGATCTTAATTGAGGACACCTTCCTCGGGAATCCGACACTATCCAGTCATACGAACGGCTGGTTGTCTTTTGAAGATTTCCCTTCTTCCACGAAGACAAAAAAAAATAATCATTCATGCTCTTCTGACTTCATTTCGTCCGTTTCATGTTTCTAACCCCAGCATCAGTAGCTGGGTGAAAATGAAACACCCAAAAGTTTTTCTTTCATTCTCACATTGTCGTCAGATGTGAAAGCTCTGAAGACACGTATCTGATAAATATGTATTAGTATTTGCATACAAAATAATATCAATATAGGTACATATCCTCTTGTCTTTCTGGCATATATATTTCAAAAGGAAATATTCGTCGTTCAAACGAAAAAGAACAATATACATATAATATAACTGTGGCTTATTTTTTTAAAGCCGACTTGGACCAGACATATATTTTTCTGTTTCCTTTAACCTTATAGCTTTTAGCGAATCTTCTTTAGTCACAGAAATATCTGCTAACAATTTTATAAAGAAAGATAAAAGGGTTATTTCTATTGTATATATATACTTATATGTGACGTGAGTACAAAAGTATACGACCGCAAACAATGAGGACTCCTAAAAGATCAAAGGGTACACAGTGTTCACCTTATTACACGAAGAAACAAAATGCGCAATAATAATATATATTACGTACATCTCCTTCTGAATTGTAATAGATACAACAAAAGCAATTTTCATTTTATTATTTCATATTATCTTATGCTCACTACAAGCTTCGGAAATTTTCTTTTTGTATCAACAATGTACAATAATAAATCCTTATTGTAATAATCAAAAACATTTTTTGTCGAATCAACTTGAAAACAATATCGGCAAGTCAAAAAATGCCAAGAATTCATATGCTGCCGTTTTTATGACCAATCATAAAATTACGACATCGTAAAGGTTTTCATTAAAACATGTACTCACTTGAATGCATTTCACGCTGTTTGCAATTAAAGTCGCTTAAAGGAGTTGTTAAAACAAGACGATGTCAACTTTGTTTCTATATTTCTTGTGATACAAGACAATGTCACATTGTACCTAATGTTACCTCTATTATTGCTTCTATAATAGATCTAAATAAACGGAATTCGTAAAAACTCTCAAATTCTGTTGTTAAAATACAGAATCGATAAAAAATATCAGTGATGTAGTAAAGGAATTCACTGTGTAGGTACTAGAAAAAGGTCTGAAATAAATAATTTTGTAGTTCCTAATAGATATGTCTAACAAATTTGATCTTTTACGTTTTCAAATATTATAGTATGTAATTTTAATGTTACTGGTATCTAGTTTTTTGAAGTGAAACTTCTTTACGCACGGTAGGGTAAGTTCGTTTCATGCGAGTTGCTATGTAACGAAATAATGCAACGGATGTCCCGCCTCTACTCGGTCACGTAATCGGGAATCGCTTGAGCCGTGAGCGCGCTTCAATGCAACATTCGTTACCGGCAACCCCGGCATGTAAATTCACAGTGTACAAATAATACCATTAAACTAATTCCTTAACCCCTATCCCGGTATGTTTGTGTATTTGAAGTAGTTTCACTTCAGTAGAGTGTTGTATAATTAGACGTTGTATTTTTTTTGTAATTATTAATGTTGTATTAATTAACCAGACACAATTTAGATTATGGGATAAAAATGGTTCTGTTTTGTGAATGAAGTGGTAGGTGATCCAAGAAAATCGCAGAAAAACTTGGACTTAGACTTGAGTCTCGTTCCTATCGATATCTTAGTGGTTCCTATGTAGACTTTTCCGCAGGAATAGGACTTCTGAGGCTGAAAGAGGGTCCTTTTTGTTCTTAAATGACGTGATGGTCTGCTAAATCTTCTTCGTCGATTTGAAAATGGTTCTGATATCGTGTCTCTGCCAATTCGGTCCATGACCTTTGGAGCATAAGGTGAATCTGCTAGAGAGGAAGTGTTATTTGATCTCTCGATCTCTTTCTATTTGCAGTCATTCGTCTCGAAGGCCGTCTTTATATGTTCCAGTTCCGCCTTAAGATTTTCCGGTTCGCAGATGCTTCTAGGTCGTTCAGTCTGGATCCTGATGATGCCATGCTTCTGACTTGGGTGGTGGACGGATACGGCATGCAGATACCTGTGTATGTAGATTTGCTATATACGGTGTAGTCCAATTCGTTGCCTCGTTTCCTCACTAGTACGTCCAAGAATGCTGTTGATCCTTCTCAGTATTCATAGTGAAATGGATGCTGCGATAATGTCTGTTCAGGTGTTGGAGGAAGTGATTCAGCTTTTCCATCAGTTTATAGTTAGAAGCACTTGAGATGTCTAGTGTTACGACGGATGATGAAAATACCGTTGATTGAAAGGGTTAGAAACAACGAAGTATTGGAAAAAGTAGGAGAATGCTGTGAAAGTCAATGAGGAACATGAAGGGCTAATTAGAGACTTATCGGAAGCAAAGAAAAATCTAAAATGCCTATACTGTTTATACGTTTAAATCTATCTAAATAATAGCTAAAATAGAAGATAAAAGTAGCAATGTGTGCTTTATATCT